GGTGGTCTGCCCGGCATTTATACTTTAAAAATTAGAAATTTTGGAATAATCCTGCATGCAGGATATGGAATTTTTAAGATTAAATCCACGGGGACTCAATTGAGGTATATACAAAGGGGATTCAATCGTGGGGACTCAATCGTGCGGACTCAATCGTGAGGACTCAATCGTGCGGACTCAGTTGAACTGCTCCGATTTTATAAAAATCTAAAAACTTTGTGTATTTTTTCAAAATTTATTTTTAATTTAAATTTAAATATGTATGTATTTTTAATTGATACTGAAAACATTTTTAAATTTAAAATTTTCCCTCAACAAATAAATTAATCCTTTTCCCCTCTTTTTTCTCAATAAACGAATGCAAAACTTTCTCTGAGGAAAATATCCTTCAATATATAAATAGTAAATAAATTAATTTTTAATTCATTTTTACTTCTATACTTTTAAAAATAAATTTAAATTCTCTCCATAAAATTTAAAATTTTGTTTAAAAAACTGTAATTTAATTTTTTATAAGTTTAACTTTCATGTAATTATTTTACCAAAATTCCATAAACAATGTGTGTTTTCACTTTTTGTTTTAGAATACCTTGTGCTTTTTTAAATTTATTTTTTATTAAATTAAATTAAAAAAAATATAATTAAATTTGAATTAAATTTTCAGTATATTATTTACGAAAATATTATCACTTTAATTTAGGATATATTGTAACAAATTTTGATTATTTTATAAAAAATTATTTTAAAACTACTAATTTAAATAGGTTTTACTTTATATAACCTGAAAATTATTATAAGAAATTCTTAACTTTGTTCTTACTTTTCTTCCCTCCTATAAGTAAAATTATTTCCCTGAATTTATTTTAGGCAATTTTACATACATACATATGTGCATTTTAAACGAAGTTATGGTGTCTAATTTGTATACGGAAGTCGAACCCAACGTTATTTAATTGATCATAACTTCGTTTAAAATGGTCGAAACTTGATAATTTTGATACCATTCGACTAATCTCTTCGAGCTGAGTCCGATTAAACAAAAAATTTGAAATTTTGAATTTTTATCCCATATCCGACTTGGTCGAATTCGGGTTCGGGGTTCGAAATAGACAAATTCTAAGCTCATATTCGGACTCAGCACATTCGATTACCTACTGGCAGACCTCAAAAATATCGAAAACCAGTAATCTCCACACATCGGGACCAGTAATCTCCACATTTACCAATTAATTTTATAATCTTTGGAGTTCTTGTTTCTATACTTTTACTTTTTGAATGTTTAGTGATTTTAACCTTGTTGAGTGATTTATTTAGGAAATAAGTTTTTCTAGTGAACCGTTAAGGATTATTATTCTCAGTTTTTTTATATGTATGTTCACAGCAGACTAGCAAGGGTCATAGCGAAACAAATGTCATTTATTGGGGCAGAACGCCAACTAATTAAAAAAGAGCTAAATTTATCTCTTTTTCTTTGTCGCTCTATTTTTTTCGCGTGTTATTTCGTTAAATATTTGAGATAAAATTTGTTTGCTTGAACATGTCAACTTCGAGAATCTTTATCTTTCGAGAATCTTATTTTTTTTTAAATTTTGCTTATTTTAAATAATGAATGAGAGTCTTATCTTTGTTTTAAAACAGGGCTCTCATCGACAAAATACCAATCAAGAGTACAAAAATCTCGATTTTAAAGTACATAGGGACAAAATTTCCAAATTTAAAGGACACTCAAAATTAAATTATAAAATATTTATTCGTCCTCAAATCTTTTATATTTCTCTCCTAAATTAATTTTTCTAATAATTTCTTGTTTCCACTGAGCATTTTGTGCATTTCATACAGGACATGTCAAAATTTGCTGTCACAAGAAGTAAAGCCCTGACAGTCTTAACCTCAAGCAAGCTACTTTCTTACGTCCATTTTCAACGCCGCAGGCGAAAATTTTGGGAAATTTCGGGGTTCTTAAGACAGATTTTTTCCATTTTTAGCGCCGCAGACAAAAATTTTTTAAATTTGGCACGCAAGAAGCCAAATTTCTTCCTTTTTCAACGCCGCAGGCGAAAATTTTGGGAAATTTCGGGGTTCTTAAGACAGATTTTTTCCATTTTTAGCGCCGCAGACAAAAATTTTTTAAATTTGGCACGCAAGAAGCCAAATTTCTTCCTTTTTCAGCGCCGCAGGCGAAAATTTTGAGAATTTTGGAGGTCCTTAAGCTAAAGTTCTTCAATTTCTTGCGCCGCAGGCGAAAATTTTTTGAAATTTAGACCCAAGAAGCTAGATTTCTTCCTTTTTCAGCGCCGCAGGCGAAAATTTTGTGAATTTCTAAGGCCATAGGCCTTAGAAATTCACTTTTTTGCCCAATCCTTCCCTAATTTCATTTTCAATCCAAAATGTTGATTTTAAAGTACATACTTTCAATAAAGTACAAATTCAATTTTGTAAGTACGGAGGTCGATTTTAAAGTACTGTACTTTCAAATAAAGTACGAATGAGAGCCCTGTTTTAAAACCATATTTATAGATTTTTTGAATATCTTAAAAAAGTTATGAATGGCCGAATAAATCAGGTTTAGAAAAATGCCTTTTACTCGTTAAAAATCTTGAAAGTTTTGGTCGTAACATATACTATTCGATTCGTCTCGACGAGCTGATTCGAATGCCACTAAAATCAGCTCGATTCTAAGATTCTGAAAAAAGTTACAGGCAATTTGTATTTTCGCCGGAATAACTGCTTTTGTGCTATATTGAGGTGAAGTCGGAAACTAATCACGGAGATTTTGGTCTCATTCGACTCAGCTCGAGGAGCTCTTTCGAATGAGCTATAATTTGTATAGTCGAATTTTCGACCCCGAAAATCGGAATTTTAGGGACCTGTATCTCGGTCCACAGGCATTTCCGCACCCCATGATTAGTGTCATTCGACTCAGCTCGACGAGCTCTTTCGAATGAGCTATAATTTTTATATTTGAATTTTTGTCACCAAAATCGGCTAGGGGCCCTCCTGTGGTTTTCAACTTTCGGGAGACTGTAACTCGGTCCCGGAATGTCGGATCAACTTCTTTCACATCTAGTTCGACTCATTTTTTAGAGCTCTTTCGAATGACACCTCATTTGTCCAAATCAATCCAAATTTGAAAAAATTACATTGAAAAATAACAGCCGGCTTTTTTAAAATTTTTCCCGTTTTTATTTTTAAAAGTTTAAAAAAATTTTACACACTTGAAATATTATTTAAAATGTTTATTTCGTGTTTTATTTAACTTATTTAATAAGAAAATATGATTTAACCATGAAATGGTTCGAACCCGCGACCTATTTTTAAACGATTTTGTAGTCACCGCTCTTAGCCACTTAACCAAAATTTAAATTCCGCTATGTCCCCTCTTTTGCCTGCGCTAGTCTGCTGTGTATGTTAGAATTGAAAAACGTAAAAAATATTTTTTTGATTAAAATATGTATTAATTGTATTTTTTGTCCAAATTTGTGGCAAAAAGAAAAATTTGTTGTATAATATGTAGTAATATTTAAAAGTCCTAATTAATTTTCAGAAGATAATTTAATAAAATAAAAATGAGAACACCAAAACAATTTGAAGAATGGTTAAATTCTGATAATATTGAGGATGATCCAGATAAAGTTGAAGATGAGACACTTGTGGAAGAACAAGAAAATTTTACAGAGAAAAGTACTTTAGAGACATCTAGTGTTGATGGGTTGTCAACTACATGTACTTCTTGTTGTTTATCAAAAAATATAATTGAAAGTTTAAAACAACGTTTAAAGGAATTGGAGGTTAAAAATTATTTTTCATTGAATTATTAGAGCTAGATCTCACTTGTACGACTAATCATTTGGTGTCACTCTCACATTAAGCACAAGTTTCGGTTTCCAAAGAAACACAAGTGAGATCCAACACGGAATTTTACGACACTTTCAAATTTTACCCTATATATTTTTTCTGCACGAAGGTTTCGTAAATTAATGCAAAACTGAATTTAAAAATAAATTTACTATATTTTAGTTGAAATTGAAAAATAATGATTTAACTTTGGAAAATTGTAGCTTAAAATTTCAAAATGCAAGTTTTTTTATTTTTCATTTCCCATTTAATATTTAGTACTTTTAATTATTAATTTAAGAAAATCCAAAAAATAAATTCTGAACGTGAAAATGAAATCAAACATTTAAAACAATATTTTCAACAATTAATTGAAAATAATAAGCAGTTAAAAGCTGAAAATGATGCTTATTTAAAGCAAAAAGATGAGAAAATTAATTGTTTGGTGGAAGAAATTAAAAAGGTAAATGGAATAATTTATTTCTTTTTATAAACTAATCACATTTGCTGATTTTGAATTAAAAGTAAATTTTAAAAAATATACATAATTTTAAATAAAAAATTATTTTTAAAGTTGCATAATCAAAGCGATGATTTAATTAAACTTCAGACTAATTTTAATGATCTTGAATTAAAATTTATTGAAGAGAAGGAAAAGAATGTTAATTTAGAAGATAAATTGAAAGAAATGGATAAAGTTTGGATTTTTTGAATATTTTTAAATAGTAATTTTAGAAAATTCAAACAATAAATGAAGAGAAAATTGAAGAAATTAAAAATAATTTTCAAAAATTAAAAGATGAAAATGTTCGAAAAAATGAGAAAATTAATTCTTTGGAAATTGAAATTAAAAAGGTAAACAATTATTATCAGTAGCTACAAATATGGGGAAATATTGTTCCGGCCTATTTAACTGTGTTGATAATTTAAGGATTTAATGTTTTGAGAATTGCCCTTAAAAAATTCAAAATTTTGTAATATTCTTTCTCCAATTAAACTTTTAAATTTAAAAAATTTAAAAAAATGATCTCGATGAAAATGTTAAAATGTATTTTTTAAATAAATTATAATTTCATTTAATAAAGGCAAATGACTTGACAGACAAAAAGATTGGTGATTTAATTAAAATAAATAATTTAAATTCTGAGGTTAATTTATTGAATAATATGGTATTTGTTAAAATTAACAATAAATGGAAAGAAATTGATATTTATTTGAAATGTTGTGACAATAAATGTATAAATACGAACAAACCTATTGGCACTTGTATTGAAGGAAATGGATTTGGGAATTTAATTGATGATGAAAATATTGAATATTTGGTGGGGAATGGAGGTAAATTATTTTGAATTTTTGGAATTTCTAAAAAAACTTATTTCTAGGTTATGATAGAGATGTTGTTGTTTATGCGGAAAATCCATTTAAAAAACCACAAAATTCATTCAATTATTCTTTACATTATTTTGAAATTAAATGTATATTCGAAAAAGAATTAAATGGTAGCAAATCAAATATGCAAATTGGGCTTAGAAATTGTAGTACAAACAATCATATTTTCTATTATGCAAAATATGGTTATATAGGAGCATTTCAACTTTCATTTTTTACTTGGATGGATAATGATATTTTTGGTTGTGGATTAGTTTATCCACCAACTAATAAAATGAATGAATTTCCTTATGCTTTCTTTACAAAAAATGGAAAACAAATAGGTAAATATTTAATTAAAAATTATTTTTAGAAAAATTAATTTTAAGGTAAAGGTATATTATTAAAGGAAAATTCAGATTCGTATAAACCTGAAGTTTGGCTTAAATGTTGTTCTGTAGAAACAAGTTTTGGAAATAACTTGGAGACCAAACCTTTTAAATACAATATTACAGAACATGTAATTATTAAGGAATTTTATTGACATTTTTTTGATTTTTTGATGATTTAATTTTGTCCTCAAAAGAATTAATAATCACTTTTTTACGATATGTAATTTTCGTCAATTAATTGTTAAATGTTTTGTCTTGTTTCTTTAAATTTATTTTCATTGTTAAAATTTATTTTTTGAATTTTCTAAAATATTTTAAATAATCCAAACTATCCATTTCCTTCAATTTATTTTGAAGAAAAAAAGGACCATAACTATTTACTTTGTGTGGCCATAACAAATTATTTACTTCTTTTAAAAATAATTTGATATCAAAAAAGCTTTCAATTTAAAAAATTATTTTATGCCTTTCATAGAAAGTAAAATATAATGATCATTGAAAAAATTCAAGTTAATAATTTAAAAATTTATGGTCTAAAATCATTTTTTAAATGTTTCCAATCGAAAAAAAAATCCAAAAATTGTGTTTATATTGGAAGAATCTTTAAAAAATAATTTTTGATCCACATTTGAATTTACAAAATTTAAAAAATAATTTAATTTAAATTAATTTCAATTGAATTCTTTAAATCTCTCCACCTTCACAACGCATAACCAAGTCAACAATTGTGTTGTTCACAATATTGTAATGGCTGAGTGTATCTAGAATTATTTAAAAATTTTAAGTTCTGGAATCGAATATATATTACATTCCCTGTATAAAGTCTTACGTATAGTTTAAAAAAAGAAGAAAAGTCTTAAAAAGCAACATTCTCAAAGGTGAAAAATTATTTACGCTAAACGCTACAACAGAAAATACAAAATGCTTCTGCTCGAAAGAAATTTCTTTTAAAAATGAATAAAATTTTACAATTGTCCTCGAGATTATGACCACGATAAATCTGATAAATATTAAATTTTAAAAATATTTCTAGAACATTTCCCTTACCAAACGCTGTGTAGCAGTTGGTAAACCTCTACGATCTGAAATTTTATACTTCAAATCCAACACAGTACCGTTTGGCTTAATTTTAAAATTTTTTCAGTATATTATTTAAAATTAAATCATACTTCCATTTGAACAGCCATTTTACTATCGTTATAAGTATCATTAACAATTACATTAATTGTTCCTTGACTGGGAGGCTGAAAGTGAAATTAATTAATGAGACAATTCACCTCTGTCATTTCACGTTAATTTTAGACTAAAAAGTTTAGTAATAATTTGAAAATCCCTAAATAATCCCAAATCCCAAAATTTCTGTGGAATGTCTGTGGTCAAGGAAATCCTCAATTTATTTATTAACTCACAACTGGATTTTGAGTAGCCATATTACTTGTACTCTGAATCATCTCATCATCAGATTCCTGTGAATCACCTCCTTCATCAAAATAAATTTTTTTAATATCCGCCAAAGTAGAATGAGATTGACATCGAGGGCAAGTTTGTGACTAAAAATGTTAAAATTAAAAGTTGGGAATATTTTAATTAATGAGCTGTGCCGGGCCTGGATGGTTTTGTCCCAGAGACGATGTCTTCAAGTTCGATAGACTGATTTTACCGGGACACATTAAATGACTGTGAGACTTATCCGTTTTTATTACTGACCTAGTTGGATGGATCAAACCCCCTCCTAAAATTTTTAAATATTTCAATGTAGATTTTCAAAAACAAGGACAACAAGGAAATATTAGTAAATGAAATCATAAAATCAAAACAAATCCTCACCCCTTCATTAATCCAACGAGTAATACAATTTTGATGAAAAGTGTGATTACAATTTTTCAAATTATAAGCACATTCAAAATTCAAACGAGAATGACAAATACTACAACGGTAAGATTTACGAACCATTTTTGAACTTGAATTAAAATATATTTATCTATGAACAAAAATATTAGTGAAAAATATTTAAAAAAAAATTCCAAAATAAAGGAAACTGATATATTTATAGGTTTTATGTACCAAAAAATAAAAAATAATTGGTTTATTTCTAAAATTCAAAAAAAACCAGACTATGAATTTATATTAGGTATTCGTCTGAGCAACGAAGTAAAGTAAATAAATTATAAAAATTTAAATGGATGAGCACATTTACATAAAATAATGACTAAAAATATTTTTAGCTCCTCCCGAACCGAAAATTTCGATATGCTTATCCGGAACCCAAATTTTTATTTTCAAAACTTTGTCCGGCAGAAAACATTGGACGGATATAGGGATTAGGACCCCAAAAATGAGCCCTCTCCCCCTATGGAGATTTCAATTTTTAGGAGCTTAAATCTCATACATATCTGAACTCAACTCTGTAAAAAAATCGAATAATACATATTTCAAATCCAGTACTTAGTACATCCTTTACTACATCTATGCCCCTTTTAACCTTTACATTTTTTGATTGTTAATATATGCAAAAAAGTAAGTAGGTCAACAAGTTCAAAAAGTCCTTTTTTTATCTATTTTCTTTATTCAGAAAAAGTTTATTTTTATTTTCACTTGTTTATTATTTAACGTTGACCTTAAAATATTGTTTCATACAAGCAATTTGATGAGACAAACTTTATTTATGTTAAATTTTTTTAATAAACAATTTCATCTGCCAAACTTTGTTTATATATTTTTTATTAAGTAAATTTACGTAAATTAGTTTTTTTTTTTATAAACAATTTTAGAAACACAGCACGCCAATTGGAGCGTGCTGGCTAGGGCCTTTTCATTTGGGGTATTTAGTAAGACTTAAGTCCGGGACACCTTTCACCTTAATCGGACAAACTCTGAGGGTTGATCAAGTCCTCAGGCTTGCCGAAGCATGATATTACCGCTCAGTTCTATAAGCGCATTTATTCACATAGGAAATACATATTACATTAAAGATGGAAATAATATAAGTGTTAGGCCTAACTCTATCTAATGGGAAGAAAGGAAATCGTTATATAAGGAACATTAATGGGCGGATAAATAATATAAACATTACAAATATGTTTACTGGGAAAATAATAATAGCGGAAGGATGAATCAAGGTGCTCTTTAGCCTTTGGTTCTAAGTCCACCTTACACCTCCAACCTCAGGGAAGACCGTCCCTGGTCTTAAATTATGTTTTACCAAAATTTTCAAAATTGCCAAAATTTTCATTCATATAAATTTTCTTACTGGCTTTCCACTTTTTATTGGCTCTTATCACCTCTTTTCTAGCAGAGGATCATCCTTGATCCTAAAATTTTATCTTACAGACTGGTTTTTGCCGAGGCCTCCAGTCTGTCTTTTCATTTCTATTCTAAAATATTTTCTTACAAACTGGTTTATACCGAAGTCCCCAGTTTGTATATTTTTAAGGCATTTCCTCTGCTTTTAAATAGGCCGATTTTGTGGATAGTCAGTCTTTTAAATTTCCTTTTTTTTTATTTTGGCAACTTTTAGACACATTTGACTTATTGAAATATTTTGCTATTTGAGCTTTAGAGCACTTTGTTTTGAGGGCATTTGGACTAGCTAATTAATACTTAAAAAAATTTCACAATAATAAAAAAACATTCGGGCATACCTAAGTATAATAAAAATAACATTCTGTGATTGTCTTGAGGGATAGTTTGATAAATATGAGGGTTGGTAGGACTAATATTTGCTATAAATTTATGTATAAATATTATGAAAAATAAGGATATTTTCCAGTTTTTCCATCTTATTTATACAGATTTAGAGCAGCTATTAAATCCTTATCTTAATTTAGTTATAAAATTTGCTCGACATTAGAAAGTAACCATTAAAAATAAAGATATACCTCAGGTGAGATGAATATCTTGTTTTTGAAAGATTATTTTCTAGTACCAAGGCAATTTTTATATCCTATTGGGGATTAAATAATTAATAATTTAAGGTTTTAGGAAGTCATATAGGTAGGTAAAGCTCAGGTACTAAATAAATTGGGTACTTGAACAAAAGAATGTGATAAAAAAGTTTAAAAAAAATTAAAAAAAAAATTCGTCTGTATTGCCTAGGCCAAAGTCATCTAATCTCCAGTCCACCAATTTTGATTTGCCACCAATGAACCACATTGACATGAAAAAGGAATATTAGATTTTGTTTTGTGCATTTTTAATAAACTTAAACCACAACATTACCCAAGAATACCAAAAATTGCGCATGTTCTTTGTGATGCTGACACTTTTCATTGCAATTTTTGACTGGTCTGCATTGGCCCATATTCTTGGACATACATTTCGTTTGTGTTCTTTGATATGATGTCACCTGAAAAATTAAATGTTAGTATTCATTCATTAATTTCTATTAAGATTCTAATTTAAACTTATCATTTTCATTACTTTTCATACCATCATTGTTATATTGCACATTTATTTAAAAAATAAGCGACCAATTTTACGAATGTGTTGAGGATTGCCGAAGCTTGAACATGCATAACAAATCCTTGAAGTTTATTAATAATTTTCATTCATTTTCAATTCGTGAATTTGTTCAGACAAATTATTAACCATCTCTCTAATCTCTTTTAACTCATTTTGTAACGCATCAATGCGATCTACTTCATTGTATTCTTCGACCTCGTTTTGATTTTCAGAATAGAATTCTCTACAATCAGCTTTCAAATGTCCTGCTCGATGACAGTAGTTGCAAACTAAATAATTACTTCGATGTTCAGTGAGGTCATGTGAGCATGCATTTCCTGTGGGTGGACTTGCCGAAGCATTTGAAGTTCCTTGTATACAGCTTGGTTCTATTAACTGAATGTTTGCTTCGTTAATTTCTACATTAAAATTTATTTCTAATTCTTGAACATACGTTACGAGCTTGTCAAAGCATTTTCTTCCAATCAAGGGTGCAACTAATTGTAAAGACCTTTGGAATTCTGGCCTAACTTTTTCAATCAAACACCTGCATAGCGTTTCTTCTCTTACCTCTTTTGTAACATTTGCAGATGTTGAATTTACAAGAGGAATTAATCTTTTAATGAACTCATTTACTGATTCCCCTTTCAACTGATAGCAGGCAGCTAATTTCTTATATGCTAGTTCACGGATATGCGGGCTATCTAGTTTG